ACCACTGCACATCTCCCACATTTCCTACATGCTCATCTCCGCTTTTGCCCAAAGGCAGTTTTTCTCTTCAAGCTTGTTTGGTGATTTCTTTCTATTCTGTTTGTTAGGTCTCTGTACCCGCTCCCATCTGCTGTTGGAGGGAGCCTCTCTGGTGATGACTGGACAAGGCACCGATTGATGAGTACAGCAGACTATCATTAAGAGTCATTTCATTGATTTCTTTTTCCCAATTGAGTTTGGTTCTATCCTAGGTCTCTAGTCTACCCAGTCTCTGGTTCCTGGCCATCCAGGTAGTGTAGGGCATGGGCTCCCTCTTGTGGTATGGGCCTCATGTTAAACCAGACTCTCACAATTCTGTGCCACCATTGCCCCAGCACATCGTGCAGGCAGGGCAGACTGTAGGTGGAGGATTTTGTGGCTGGGTTGGTGTCCAGGGTTCTCTTTTCGCCGCTTGCAGAGTACCTTCCCACACCAAAGAGACTAGAACATAGGGGTGAAGGCTCCACTTCTCTAAGTTCAATGAGCTGTGTGGATGTTGACCTGGGCAATAGCCCTCCCCCCATCTGTTTAAAAAGTATATGTCTGTATAGGTATGTGCATAGCACATGAGAGCAATTGCATGTGGAGGCCAGAAGAGGGTGTCAGATGGCTGTGAACCACCTGATGCCTGGTCCAACTTGGGTCCTCTCTCTGAACAGCTGAGCCATCTCTCCAGCTCCTGTTTGGATCATTTCCTAGGTATCCCAACTCAGGATACCTTCACATTTGTGCTCCAAGCAGTCTATCTACCGAGTCTTGTCCCCAGTTCCTTTCCCCTTAAATTTTTCTGTCATTTGTGGAACAGAAAAGTAAGGTGAATGGTATTCATGCTTGGAGGTGGAAATGCCCCACCCCCTGCTCTGCCAGGTGCTTGGCGCTTATCAATAGGAGACTCTGGCCAAGAGCTGAGCTGGTAGAGTATGCCATTCCTGGGGTATAGGAGCCAGCTTGCCCATTTCCCTGCTGGGAGCTACCCTGTTGAGGTTTGTCTTCAGCAGCGCGCTCACCCACCTACCCCAGGGTGGGCACTCAGGTATTCCAAAGCATTTTCAGGAGCACACAGTCAAGCAGAGGACACTGCTATCTTCTTTTATGTTTTTATAATCTATAGAAAAATTTTCAGAATAAATTTTAGGCTGGGTGGTGATAATGGTACACTTCAATCCCAGCACTTGGGAGGCAGAGGCAGGCAGATGTCTATGCATTCAAGGCCAGTCTAGTCTACAGAGTGAGTTCCAGGACAGCCAAGGCTACACAGAAACCCTGTCTCAAAAAAAAAAAAAAAAAAAAAAAGAAAAGAAATTTTAGGTTTTTCAGTTCCAAACTCCGTATTCTCCAGAAAGATTTAATTATTTATACTTGTTTTTATATTAACTTCTTTTTTGATTCTAAGATGTCTTTATATAGTAAGAATATGAGCATGTGACTTCCCATGAAGAGTTTCCTCCCAGGTTTTTTGTTATCATTTAGCCCGGTGACAGCACTTTTGGTTTGCTGGCTTCTTTGTTTTGACCTTGAATAAGTTTTTAATTGTATTAAAGTTAATTCAAATTGGTCAGGATCTTATAGCTTTTTCTCATGTAAAATGTTTAAACATTTTTTTCTATTCCAAGGCTATAAAATGTTCGTGTGTGTGTGTGTGTGTGTGTGTGTCTGTGTCTGCGTCTGCGTCTATGTATCTATATTAGGAATGATCCTGTAAAGGGACAAAACTAAAAGGAAATACACACACGCATATATATATATATATATATATATATATATATATATAAATTGCCCATATTACTAATTGACTTTCACATGGGGCTGGATAGCCCAACAATGGCGGCCAAACAAGGACACTCAGTAGGTTAAAGGAAGTGTTGAGTCTGGAAGTTCTCAGAAGAGTCACTGGCGTTGAGTCCACCATGGAAGGTTGGAGAAGCTTGAGTCTGGTGTCTGTGAAGGACTGCTGCAGTCACAGACACGCTTGCCCAGGAAAGAAAGCAAAGCAGCTCACATGCTCTCCCTCAGCCTTTGCTTCCTTCTGAGTTGTTTACTAGAAGTTTCCACCCACCTTGGGGGTGGGGGCTGACCCTCCCAGTCACTGCCCCACATGGCTGTCCTCACCGGTCCTAGTCATGTCTCAGTTCAGTCCAGTTGACCACTAAGACCGAGCCTCATGGGACTCAGGTGTCTCTGAAAACACAGGGATGCATAGGCAAAGACTTTGATGCTCCAGGAAGAGTTCATCTTAAGAGGAGTTCAGAGTATGGCTCTTGAGTATGCCTTCCTTTCTCGGCAGATGTAAAGCGCTGCCTTCACCTCTGAATGGCTCAGGTAGGTTCAACATTATTAGATTTCTGATTTTTAATTCAACTAAGCAAAACAAAGCAAAAGGCTCAAATTAAATTATTAGCTCTACTTTTCATAATAACAGACTTGAATTGGTAATTCAAGTATCTCAACGCTGATACGTAAGCTAATTAAAAAGTGCAGTAAATTGGATTCAGTAGTAGCTTGGAATTCATATTTAAATGAATTGCTAAGAACTCTGGTTGGCACTCTGCACACAGCAGGGGCTGGTGTACAGATGGGCAGGCCTCCACCTGGCCTCAGGCAGACATTCGGATCAGTGAACCCAGCAGCCGAGAGGCGTGTGCTCCGAGGCAAGAAGACAGTGGCAACAAGGATTTCAGTGGTCACTGCTGGTGATACTTTTCTTTGACGAAGACTTTCTAGGATCATGCACTGTTTTAGAGACATTTCTGGGGACGTGAAAGTGCCTTTGTGAATAATGTGGATGCACTGTAACTCAGTAATGAGGGAGTGACTCACTCATGATGAACGACAAGACAGCTTTCAGCAGAATAATTCTGGTGTTGTTCCAAGAGGTACGGCCTCAAAAGCAGAATGTCCGCAGCTTTCACAGAGGGGATTTTCTATTACATAGCTCAAAAGAAGACATATAACTGATGACTAGAGTCCCAGTCTCCACCCAGCCACCCCCACCCTAGGCTAGGCAGCTTTAACAGCCTGCGTACACCTTCTAGTGTACGGGATTGCAAAGCGATACAGGAAGTGCCGGAACACGAATGGTCCCAAGAGCGCAGAAAGATGAAACCATGACAAGACTTAAGACCTTTTCCCAGATAACTGCCAAGTTCATCCCACCATCACATTTGCTGTTTTAAACACTGCCAAAGGTCACCAAACTGCCTGTGCATAGAAGAGAACAGACTCTCATAGAGATGAGCAAATCTTTGTGCCTGTTTCCAGCCTCCGGATCACTCTGTATCTAGGAAGCGTTTGAGAGTCACTCCTGCTGGGAAATTCTATAGTGTGAAAAGGAAACAATGATGAGAGCCCTGTCAGACCTGGATATTTACAATTATATTTTGAATGCCATTTTAGAATAATCAATTGTATTTGAAACAGTCTTTGAATATAAATAAACTCAAGAAGAAAGATGGTCTGTTTATGTAGCTCATTAGAAAATAAAAGCTTTGGTTAACTTAAGTAGTTTCTAGGTCTGGTCTCAATGCAGCCCAGAGCACCCTCCTCCTCCATACCAATGGCTCTGCCCCCAACTCAGTTGGACCTGCAGTTAAGTTGAGGAACAAGGTTAGTTTAAATTACACTAAGCACCTCTATGTTCTCCAAGAAAAAGGGCTCCTATGGGCCACCCTAGGCTGCACGGCTCCCCCAGTAAGATTCTGCGGCAATTCAATTTTTCAGTTTTCATTTTGTAAGCTAATGCTCCTGAGTTATTGGGTTTAACGGGAGAAATGATGATAGTGTTGCCTTGTTATAGTGAGTACCAGGCTAGGTGGAGGAGACACCAAGGTGATTCCTCTGATTAGAGCTTTGATGTCTCACTGTGCAGCGTGGGGAGCTACTCTAAGGACACACAGAACCCTGAGTGGCTTGTCACCTGCTGCTGTCACTCACACAGGACAGGCATCTATCTCAAGATAGGAAGTGAGGTGGCACCGGGAGGCTCTTAGATTTTACAACCAGACTCCCTGACATCCTGGGCACGCCATCAGGGAGATGCTGAGAACAACTGTGGTTTGCATAGTTCAACAGCTAATTTCCCAAGTGGGTTTTAGCTGTTTATATTATCAATGGTATGCCTTTGAACACACAGACAAAGTCTATTGATCTTATGTTTGTGAAAACAAGCCATTTCCTTCACCTTTACAAAAATCTGTTCTCTACCCATGCACTTATGAAGTGAGAGTCTACAGAAAAGCCCCTGTTCAGATATATCCTCAGACATTCACACACCCACACTGTCATTTGAATAGACACATGTCCCTCTTAATGCAAATGTTGGAGTGATGTGTCAGGTCCTGATGCATAATGGATGCTTTAAATCAGACCCAGGTGGAGATAGGAGGATCAAAAGTTCTGGGCCATTCTTGGTACAGAGTGAATTTCAGGACAACCTGGGCTACATGAGATCCTACCCCAACCACCCCAACTCCTCAAAAAACAAAAAGAACCAATCAGACACAAAAATTGCCCAAGCATATTTCCACAATTATGAAATAAACAACCAAAGGTCCGATTGGTCATCCAACTGGTTATCCAATACCAAATGATCAGCCCTTAAAACACACATACAAATAGCATTATATAGACTGAGCAGGTTGTACTTATGAAACAATTAATGAAATCAGAGGGCACAAATTTGGAAGAGAGCAAGGAGGAGTATGTGGGAGGGTCTGGAGGGAGAAAAGGGAAGGAGAACATGATACAATTACATTATAATCCTGCCAAGTAAAAGAAATAATTTTTTAAAATATTGTAATAAAAGTATCATAAGATATCAACGTGACAAAAAGGATGTGGAAACTGAGGGCTTAGGCTCTAACACTGTCAATTTAAATTCAAAGTGAAGATAGCTCACCCACCCACGGCTAACCAGCTGTGAGGAGGGAGAGAGGAGGTCAGGAGAGAGAAGACATCTTTCTTACGTTTGGTGGTCTCCAAGTGGTCTCTGGACAATGGACTTCAGCAGGGGCTCTGGCCGGAGGGCCACCTTTGGAGACGTTTTGGGGCTGGAGTCTGACTCTGCACTCTCCTCATCACCCATGGCTTTGATGTAGCTGCCACTTCGCATCCTACGGCAGGGGATCTCTTCCTCTTTGCCACCTGTGGGGTACGCACCCCAATCATCCTGAGGCACCTGGGAGGGAGCAGAGACAGCACATGTCAACTGTGCCCTCGAGAAGTGTGTCCTACAAGTTCTTGGAGACATAGCTCCTTTGGCTGTTTATCATTTTAAGTCATGCACACAGAAAGATGTGCTTTTTCATAGTCTTCCAAATCCTGAAAGGGTCTTAATAGGAAATCGTTGATTTTTTTCCCCTTTGTAAAAGTAAAAGATAAACATTATGGAAAAAGTTGAGAAGGTACTAGGAACATAGGAAAAATAAAATGAAGAAATGGAAGAGAAAATGGAAAGAGACACCTACATTATTGCTAAATGCCTTTTAGTGGTAAATGTTAATAAAGATGAGAATTAATCCCCAAAGCAGAATCATAGCACATACACAGAACACATGCACTGGCCAATAAAGGAAGACATATCTATCCATCTTATGTACACAGAGCTTCATAACCCTGTACACAGTGAATTCCAAATAAGACTCAAAGGATGCCAACTCCAAACTTCTCTGCTGTGTCCCTGGCCTGAAGGCTGACTTGGTCAGTAGTTGACAAAGCTGGTCAGCATTCTGGCTCCACACCGGCAACTCAAGAGTTGCCTGTCTCCAATAAGCTAAACCTCACAGGAGTGAACATGGTATTTCTCAGAGCAGCAGCGTCCCCTCCACCCCCACCCCTGACCCCCTGCCCAACTCAGTGCAGCTCCTTGGTGAGACACATGGCCCAGTGTGGGCAATTCTGCCAGCAGCTCCAAAGACTGGTAAAGGGCAACCCTGGCTGGAGAAGAGGGGTCTCAGCTGCTAGTGATAGAGGAGAATGATAAAATTTCACACTTAAAAAGTCTTCAAAGTGTTTTTTTTCCCCACTGTAAAACGTTTAGATTTTCTGTAATATTCTGAAATTGGCCTGCGAAGGATCCTGCTTTCCTTCCAGCCCCAACACTGCATGAAGCCAAGCACTCTGGCCCTTCTAACAGGAACCCATATGGCTGATGGGATGGCAGGCTCTTCAGCAGACGGCACCAGGGTTCCTCCCTGGACAGCATGGTGTGTGTTGTGCCTGTAGATCTGATCACTGTGCAGACTGTTCCTACAGCTAGTCTCCACACCCGGAGTCACGGAGAAAGGAGGCTGCGGGCCATGCATGCACCAGCCCCTAGACTCTACATCTGTGTGAGCGCTGATGGTAGTCAACAGGCCTGTCGGGGTTCCAGACCTAAGTGGGGCCATGATATCTTCCATGTTGTAGTCAGGACTTGCTCTGCATTCTTCTCCCACTCTGTACCTCCTGCTAGGCTGGTTGGGCAGGCCTTGTATTTACCACTCATCCTGTGTGGCAAAGTGTAACATAATACTCACAAGGTCTAAGAGGGCGTGCATGATTCAGCTGGCTCTCCCTGATCAGACATAGGCACAATGAAGCCCACCAACTCTGTAGCCAGGCTCGACAGGGCTAGATGCAGCTCTTGGATCGAGGAGAGGGCTTAACAGACAGAATGCTGTGGGCTCCCTACAGGCCTGAGCTGGGGTAGGTGCTGCTGCTAACAGGTTAAACACTTTAACACTGTAATGACCTGGTTCTGTGCCACACTATGCACAGGTCTGAGGAAGAATGCAGACTATCCCAAGAGGGCCTGGAAAAATTTTAATGACCACATCAAACACCAGCCACACAGATCGCATGTTGGAACAGCTGAAGTTTTAGGCAGACTGACACAGAGGCCAATGACACAGAGGGTTTTTTGTTCAGCATGTAATAGGCATTAACCCACCCATGGAGAATCTTGGTTTGTAGGGAGATATCATGTCCTGACAGGGAATATGCCTCAACACTGGGAAAATGACACAGGATGTGTGAAGAGTTCACTCTTGGGGCACCTGAGAGCTCTTATCTGGTGCTGTCTTACTGGAAGCCTCTTCAGTAACCATACACTGGAAATCCAGGCAGAGGAATGTCATCTCTGTGGCACTAACCAGAAGACCAGGATGTTCACACGATGACCAGTGTCCTTGTTTCTCTGGCAAGGTGTGCCAGCCCATTCAAGCTCTGTGTAAACCTTGTGAGTCAGTCACCAGGACAAAGGGGAGAAGCCAGGATGGTAGTCCGTCCTCGGGAATGGCTTCACATGAACTCTATTTGAATTTCAGAAGAATCTGTCCCAAGCTCTGGAAGATGGTTATGAAGGCATCATGGTCTGTTGACTAGCCTGTCTCTGAATATCACAGATGCAGTAGATTTTAAAGAGGTTGATTCAATTTGTAGTTCTGGAGGTTTAGAAGTACAAAAGCATGGTGCTGGAATCTGTTCGGTTTCTGGTGAGGGCCTTTTGTGAGACGGGGCAAGCAAGCCTCTCCTCTGCTCTTCTAGACTACTAATTGCATCATGTGTGTCCTATGGTCATGGCCACACCCAGGACAACTTATCACCCCAAAAGGATACCTCTGAATACCATCAGCATGTGAATTTTGAGGACTCACTTTCCAACTCATGAAGTCTCGGGGATGTATGCAAACGACAGCCAGGGAAACATATAAAGCTGACAGACTTGCCTTCATGTAGGAACACAGTGGTAAGTTGCATGGCAGGTGTCAACAATGGGACAGGGGGAATGGGGACTTTTCGATGATTTCCCCATCTAGTCCCATTTTCTAAGCTTTCCAAGCTTTCCTAAGCTGTATAGTACTTTTGCCAGAGCCCTCAATGTCACAACACTTCAGTGAAGGTGATGACTACGGTGTGGCGAGGCCATAAGCAAGTTAGGGTAAGGGACAGTTCCAGGGAAAGCTGGTGACTGACTGGTGGCCAGTAAAGGCTCCTGGAAGGGAGGCATCGGGGCCACTGAGTCTGAACTTGGCCAGAGGAATAGTGTAGGCAGAAGAAGCAGGATAAAAGATGTGGTGGCCAGCCCCTGGGCTGGGCCAGGGGAGCTTGCACCCTTCATCTCTCAGTGAGCACTCAGGTGGTGGTCACAGAGAAGAGGACAGATGGAGGAAGAGGCCAGCTGTCACCAAAAGAGAGGCTCACACTGTCAGGTTTATGGAGAGGTTTTTTTTTTTGAACCAAAAACATGTTTCCATAAAGAGCAAGGTAAAGATTGTTTTTTATCCAGCAGCCTACAAATTAACTAACAAATGAGACCAGCTTGTATGTTTCTGTTTCTGATTTAAGAAGCCAATTTCACAGCCTTTGACAGAAAAAAATTCAATACAGAAGGAGTGTAAAGCAGTCGATTTCCAGAGCATATGCCTGGGCTATGAAAAGCCACCAAGTCTCAGTAAATAAACCTTCCCCTTATGGTGGAAACATTAAAACCCGCAGCAGAACGCAGAGGAGTGGCCAAGTGTGCACCTGGCACTCGCGTGTAGCAGCTTCTCAGCCTCGGGGAAACAAGCCTGAGGCATCCAGCCTCTGCAGAGCCAACCCCAGCCTTCGCTATGCCAAGGCGATGAGCTACCCCCACCGCCGCCACCAGCATCATACCCCAGTGATGAACAGCATTCATAAGTTCTATAAAAGGGGCATTCTCCTGCGATTGGCATCTGTGTGTGTTGTGATGCTGTGCTTTAAGCATGTCTTAATACTACACATGAAAACGTCTTTCCTTCAACTGGCGAGGTGGAGCATTTTATAATAAGGTTCTTTTTAGGTGAACTAAAGAGAAACGCCATACAAAGCTGTGTTCTCCCTCTGGAAACATTTTCTTCATTCCGTCAGCAACGTGTGTGTGTGTGTGTGTGTGTGTGTGTGTGTGTGTGTGTGTGTGTGTGTGTGTGTGAATGTGTGTGTGAATATGTGTGTGTGTGTGTGTGTGTGTGTGTGTGTGTGTGTGTGTGTGTGTGTATGTGTGTGTGTTTTAAACAAGGATCAAGTACATGAGCCACAGGGGAGAGTAACAGAGCAGGACAGTTGGGCCCTGCAGGCTGTGAACAGAGGACAGATGAATGACAAGGGACCTAGGCAAAGCATCCCATGGCATCACCAGTCATTCTGGAGACCCATCTGAGGAAATTCAACTCACACAGGGAGTTCATTCACATACCCAGGGGTCCAAAGATGCTTGTTATATGGGAGCCATGTGCAACCCCACCCAAAGAATGACTGCCTACATCCTGCACAAACCTGAGTCAGCTTTCCCTGAACCTTGCTATGCTTTGTGTGAAAATCAGGCTTTTTGTTCTAGCTGGCAATTTTAATGAGCGATGGATTTTATTTTTCTAGAGTATAACTACCATGTAAATCAAGGGGAGCGAGAACGCTGCTCAGTTGGCAATTTACCAGGAATTGTTTACCGTTTCCAAATCCCCCAGGGCTGGCAGAGCCTTGCTGGAGTCTGATTCCTCATTACAACACTCCTCTGTTGGTCTAATTTGTAGCTCTCCAATTACTGCGACCCTTCACTCAGAAACAAACGCGAGAACATTTCATTCTGCACAGACTTGCTCTGCCCCAACATTGTTATCCTAAAATACTTTCACTTAAAAGTTACTTTACTTTTATTTCTTTTACATGAGAGATCAGGCCGTGCGTACATATTTATCTCTCTCCTTCCCTGCCCTATCTGCTTCCCCCTCAATAATGTGTATCTAAATAGGTTATATGAGCTTCATTTTAGAATAATCAGAGAGATGCTGAATGTCTGGTAAGTTCGTGAAGAATTATATGGGCAGAGAAGGAGAGTAAAGTGTGTAGATAGCATTAACTGTCAACTTGACACAGCCTAGCATCCCCTGAAAGGGCAGTTTCAATTGAATAATTGCTTTTATCAGGTGGTTCTGTGGGCATGCCCATGAAGGATTGTTAATTAACGTAGAAAGGTCTAGCCCACTATGGGTGCACCATTCCTTGGGCAGGTAGTTCTAGGCTGTATAAGAAGGCTGGCTAAGCACAAACAAGAGAACAAGCAAACAAGCAAGCAGGCAGCATTCCTCCATGGTTTCTTCCACACTTCCTTGGTGGTGAGTGAGTTCCTTGATTGGAGATAATATTACATGGAATAGCAAGTAGCTCTGCCTTCAGATT